TAAGCTCTTCCTCAAAACTCTTAATTAAATTGTCCCATTTTAGTCCTATTTGGGTAAAAGCATGATTTATCTGATTTTGACATGAAAGAATGACATTTGCTCTTCTTTACCAAACACATTACTTTACACTTGTTTGCCATTTGTACATTGCGTCATTAGACTGTATCATTAGGTAGAAAAACCACTAAAGTAAAAGGAAAGCAAAACAAAATAAAATTTTCAGTTTCAATGTAGTTATGTTAAGGTTAGTCAAGACAGTGTTTCCCAAACATAATCATGCTCCCAAGCCTGGAAGACCCTACTTTTTGAGGGTAGGTGGAGAAAAAAGAGATGGTTAGAAGTTTCAGTAAGTTTCGGCCTGTCTTGCATCTAACAGAAGCATACAAAAATATATATATGCCCAAGAACACATGACCTTATAAATGAGCATACAGAAATTCACACCTCAGTTTTTACATCAGTTTGGATCAAGGTTGAATTTAAAGCAGCAATTTAATGTAGTTTTGCATTTGGCCTGAAGTAACTATTCTCTGCTGTGCAATATATAGATACCTCTACAGATTGACTTTCCTTTAGAGACCTTGAATTCAGAATCTCTGTCAAGATCTACAAAGAGGGTTGACAAAACAAACCAAAAGAAAAATGGTAATCCAGTTTGTTCATCTCTGAGGGGAAGAATTATGCTTCTGGAAAGAACCTTAACACCTTTTATCTAGCCATATGCAGCAAACAAACAGTCTAAGTGCACAGGTGCTAATATATTAGATGCCAAAGGAGCTATATGTTATCATTTCTGGTGTGAAAGATTCACTGATGATTACAGGAAAACTAATAATACTATATACCTTGATGCCATGAATTGGCAGTGGGATATCAGCATCCACAAACAGAATCTTTTGAGGAATAAAGTAGTTCCCTTGATTCTACAAGTGTCTGGAGAAAAAAAAAAAAAGGACAGGCAGGAAATGGACATTTCACCACGTGAAAACTGAATAGCTTACTGAGATCAGTAAGCCGCACAAGCAGCTGCTGAGAAAAGGCAAGGGGACCAGTATTTCTGTGTGGTGCATTCTTCATCTTTCTCTTTGTTGTGGAATTATGCTACATTGCATCACGTTTGGTTGAGAGAAGTCATACAGGAGAGGGAGCAGCATAGGTGAGTCTGTTGGACTTGTAGTACAGCTTCCAGTAGACAGGGAAGGACATTCAAATTAAGATTATTCTCATCAGTCACATGTAGACAAGAAGAAAATTCCCATGCCTCTTGGTGTTTTATTTTCTTAGAATATATGATGCAATGGAGAATTTCCCAGCGTTACTTCTTTCCCCATATCATTGATTTTCTAAGGGTGACAGTCATACTGCACTCAAGACAATATTTTAAACCTTACTGGTTTTGCTAAAGCCATAAGGGTAACTAAGAGCATGTTAACACAGATGGTTGCAGACAGACCTAACATCTGCTCTGTGCTTTTAAGTATCAGAACTACGAAAGAGGCCACATTTTAGCAGTTAGTGTGACAGAATAGATAAGTGCACTAACATAACTTCTAGACTGGAGGTGACTCCTGTCCATCCAGATTAGATCAGAAATAAAAAATAAAAAAAAGGATCTTTCTGTGCTTGTACAGAGAAGATATATGCCAAGACAGAAAAATACCTCTATTTAAAACTATCTTTATTTACCTCTTTTCCAATTTCCAAATTCTAACTAAAGCAAAAAAATGCTCTATTTACTCACAAAAAATGACTTTGCAACCAAATATGTTTATTGATAACTGCAAGTGAACTAGTCTTTTCTTTCCATCATAGTAAAAGAAACTAAGGATCAAATATTCCTACCTAGCCTTGATAGGCTATTGAGCTGAAAGACGTATAGAGACCAGTGTGTCCTACTAGCCAAAAGACATGGAGTTCATGGGACATTCATATGCCAGAAATGATGTTTTTATCTGAATAAGACAAAAAGATAATATTTGGAAGATAACTCTGGAAAGTTAGATAGCTCTGGAAAACTGTTAGAGATTAGTTTGAGGAAAAGGGGAGGAATAAGAGGGTCTAAAATAGATTGCAACATTGGATGCATTCTATTCACAAGCAAAAGAAAAACATTTCTGCATGAGGTGTTACACTTCAAAATATAATCAATGCATGATGTAGGAAGAGACATAAAGTTTGTCCTTTCAAAGACTTCGATTTATGCAGTCCCCTAATGTTTACAAAATTACACACACATGTTTATATAATCTCTCTGCATAGCTACCACTTGGCAGCTATTCTGGACACACAAATGCAAAGTGAATCCTTCATTCTGCCATCTCTCCCCTCCAAGATTCTGGTGAATGAATTTCCTCTAGGCCTGGTGCTGTTGCTTTACTGCTCTGATCCATTGCTTCAGTTTGATCTCCTTCCTCTCCTCCCCTTCCACCTGAAGAATAAAACAAAAGCTTTGGAGCAAAGCTGCCCAGTGGCAAAAGTTTCAGGCAAGGAAGTTGGAGGGAAGATATTGATTAGTATCAAACCACTTTTAAAGTAATGGAAGGAGAGGCAAAGGAGAGTTTCATTGTCTTCTAGTAAAAGTTGTATTGATTCAATTCTGTCCTTATAACTGAAACAGCTTGCTGGCTCCCGTGAAGCCAGCTTTCTTTCCATTCTGGTCTCTTGTCCTGCTTATTGGAAAGTGGAGAATGGATGAAGCAGAATAACATAGTCCCTAGTCAGGGACACAGGATAAGATCAGGTTCCTCTCTGTCCTGGCAATTGCTGAACACTGTAATAAAACTAAGCAGATTGACTGGATTCTCCTGTTTTCTCATGGAACCATGGGGGCAAGTCAAGCTCTTCTTCATAACTTCCTTGCTATGTAATGTAAAGGCAGGCGGTTGTCCATCATACCACAGTAATGCATCATTACGACCTCACTAAAATCAGTGGAGTTATAACAAGTTAGCAATTAAGGATTTTTCCTTTAGCTGTTTTCTCTGTGCTTCATTGGCAAACATCAGGCATGCTGCCCTTTCTTTCAGTGATATTCACAATATAAGTCCCTAACTATGGGAACATATTTGTTTCAGCATATGGCCCACGATGTGCCTCCATGTGGTAGATGGGGAAGACTCATTACTCATTTTGGTTTCTGGATCAACACTGACAGTTCAAATGTGGTCCTCCTTGGACATAAACAGAAAAGCTTTTCTTGCATTCAGTAGGTGAACAACAAACTATTAATTTGTTGACTTAGAACACCCTATAAAATATTCCTTAATCATTTGGGCAGAATGCTTATTTAATGGTAATGGCAGTACCCCAACATTGAAGAGTTGAATAGCACAGATCAGCTTCAGGGAAACTGGAAATCCCCTGAGTCACTGGAGTTATTCACACTGCAGTTACAAATATATCAGCTGTACCTGATAATGTTTAATCTTTTTACATCTAGGTACTATTGAGTGAAATTATTATATTATCATGTGAGGACCTGCCATGACACTGTTGGGTGTTATACTTCAATTGATATATCATCTTGAACATACTGTTCATATTAAAATCAGATTAATTTGTACCAGGGGGATTTTTTTGTAAAAGGGCAATTTAATATAGTTGACATCACATGAAACCATTTCCCACAAACTTAATGACAATACCATTCTATGAGAAATCAAGAAAGGGATCTAACTCTACATATGCTAAAAAAGCAATATTGCATTTAATATTTTTTTCCTATCTGTTATCATATGTAATAAATTTGAAGCAAACCCATAACTATGACAATTTTTTTAGATGTCACAAATGCTATATATTCAGAGCATTAAAAAACCCAAAGGTGAGCAATACTGAGGGGTAAATTAACCATTGTTTAGAACTGAAAAAGTAATTCCATAACCAATGCATTATATAGTAACAAAGCAAATATTATAGATTCTTACCACATACACTTTGAAGGATGATATATTTCAATAGTTCAGTAACTATATAAGTGCTGTCTTAAGGATTTCAAATTCTTTCAGCTCTCTGAACAATTTTATGAGGTGATGATGTGAATCTACATCCATCAAAGATCCTATTGCATGATGAAAAGTTAATGTTTCAGAAAACTGGAGTGGTCTCCTTGGCTGTGTGATTATGACTGAAAGCAGTTACACAGCAAAAAGGATTACTTTGGACTCACATGAGCAAACATACTGACAAAAGCAAGTATTTTTTGAGAAAGGGCTTCAGTGAGTGAATAGTTTTTGTTTACTATAGCAGTCCACACTAGGCATTTTGTGAAAAAGTTGAAAAGTCAAAAGCAAAACATCTCAGCAACAATTAATTGAAAGAGCTTATTTCTACAAAATGTGAAAACCCCCTCACTTTGTATAGACAAAAAATCCTAATAAATTAATGTGAAGCTCTCTTTGCAAGTAGATGAAATGATATGACCCGTATGGTAGAGAACAGAAAATTCTGAGCAAACAAATGAGAATTTTTAAAACATATATGCATTATATATATTTTAAATACCCACGTTTAGTGTTGGCATCTATGCCTTTTTTTGAAAGGTGTAGAGCAGGCTTGATCCTAAAGCTCATTCTGTAGGAATAGCGTATTGCATGAAACAGATTTTTAAAACACAGATACTGATTGAGAACAAAACTCTAATTGCATCATAAATCAGAAGAGCAAAGCGTTCTGTAAATACGAACTGAACTACCAAGTTCAGTATCAGAGAGCAGCTTTCAAAGGCAACTGACAGGTGTTATGTTCACTATTTTCAATTTTTCTAATAAACATCCACTCACAGACAATTGTAAATTCATTGTAAAATATAAATCTTATGCAAGTATCTACTTCTGTTTTCAAGAACAAAATAAAACCAGCAGAAACAAACTAGGATTTTTAGTCTGTTATTTTCACTTTTTTCATTTCACAGCTTTCTTTTATAGCTGATGCTCTAAGTCTATTTTAGCATATCAGACACCACACCTACAAACAGTACAAACTGTGAGTGACCACTTTACCTTCTGAAAAATCAATCAGTCCCAGCAAATGAAGCAGCTTCAGAGATGCAAATATAATCACAACAATACCCACTGTTTGCAGTCCCTCCGACTCCCACTCGAGAGTCAACATTCTTCCAACAGGTAAATCATTCCAGTCTTCACACCGGTTTGCAATCAGAGGGAAATTGGAAGATTTTACCAAGAGTTTGCTTTGAAGAAAGTTGCAGGGGTGTAAAGCAGCACTATACTGAGCTGTGGCGATTCACCAGCCACTGTAGCTGAGACAAATATCTTAGATAAAGCCCTGCATCTCATGCTTCTCTAAGCTTTTGATTTCATCAGTAGCGAGTCCTCTTAGAAGGCTGAGGTGGACCACGAACCCCTGGGTATGACATTGTATCCGTCAAGCAGTGTTACTTAGCGCTGCTGGAGGAACATCTGTGTCGGAGCAGGAGACTTGGCTGTGTCAGTGCCAAGAAGAAACACGCTCTGGAAACTTGCCCTAGGGAGCACACTGCTATCAGCACTGCACTCCACTGCTTACAGACCCAGGCTTTGCGATTCTCCCCAGCTTCTCTTGGCACAGTTTTTGTTAAGTTTGAGAAATGACAGCTTGCTAAAGACACACATCTGTTTTCACGTGTGCTAAATGCTGCATATCAGAAAACTACTACTCTCTTTGTTAGATAGAATAGATAGAATAGATAGAATAATGTTCAGAGAAACACTGTCCCTTCCTCTTCTTAAGCATCACCAGAATCTAATTAGATTCTATTCTCACTGAAAGTGAGAATAGAAATTAAAGAAATACACATCAGCATCATCAGTGCCTCCAGCTAGCAAAATATAGTGCTGTCAGGGAGACATGCAGTGCTCAAACCCCTGGTCCGTAACCAGGAAGAATGTATTCTTTATTGATTGAGAAACAAAGGAGTGCTTTTGTGCCTCAGGATGTGAACTTAGAAGTGCTGAACCCCAAACTCTGATACACATGAATGGGTATTAGGCATTTTGCACAGCTCCTGAGAAGATCTTGCCCAGGCTATGCATCAGGGGAAAAAGAATCCCAGTTGATTTATTGGACAGTCTGTATAAAACTAATTGTCCTGTGTTTATTAATGTGATTACCAAGATGATACCCAGTGTGACGAATAGGCTTTGAAGAATATTTATGCAGCATATGCATAAATAAGGTTATACCTAAATGCTTGTTCTTGTTTCCGATTCTAATAATTTAAATAAATCCTAATAAAACTTGTCCATTTGGTATACAAGGCAATAGAATAAAGTGAAGGGAAGTCTCAGAAAAAAAGTAATTTTAGGCACCCTTATTTCTAAAGACATATGTTATAACTCTAAAAGGAATCTCATAAATGATGTCTGGTATCAACCACTCATCTTAGGTTGCTAAATCCCTTGCATTAGAAAAAAAATTTACTAATTGTTGAGAAGCTCAGATACTTTTAATTTTGTTCAGAAAGTCATTAGAATTTCAAATTATCATAAACCAAATTGTAACATTGACAATCTATTATTTATGGTCTACCAGGTAGAGAAAGAAAAATGTAATCTACAATTTACTATAAGCTTCTTTTGTTTTTCTTTGAAGGCTGTCTGCACTGAATTACAGTAACTAACTAGACCCACAGATTTTTCCATACAGGCAGGAATACAGAATCTCCATATTTTTATTCATTCAAAAAATCACATGTGTACTTCAGTTATTTTAGGTTATATCTGGTCAATATATAAGAAAGAATATTCTTTGATTTTACTGTTCTGGGTATTTAGTACTAGAACGTCATGAGTTTTGTATTATTTACTTACACTCTCAATCTGAATGTCAGTTCGTTTCCTATTAATCTGTTAAGCTAAAACAATGTTCAAGAGGAAAGCACAGTAAAAAATCAAACCAAATACACTATCCCAAATTTGCACTTTCCAAATATGTCATTACCTTCGCCACATATTCTACATTAACTATCCAATAAATTTTCCTGTTAAGCTCTATTCATTTTAAAAGTAACTTTTCGTTTCCTCTTTACAGTTTCTAGCCATTCCATTCTCCTTTTAAGGCTCTTACATGTTCATCTTAACTCATTCTCATGTCTGACTTCTATTTTTTTTCCTTGAGTTTATTCCTATTCACTTTTTATTTTTTCTCAACTTTGTGTTCTTTTTATCAAATGATGGATGTTTACAATACTTCCAGCCTTAACATGATCCCAGGATGGGACCTTTGACCCATATTGTTTTACAGGCATTACAGAAACAATAATCCTAATATAACACAAAAAATCATGCTATAAAGGTGAAAGAGGCCCTACTTATTGTTAATAAATGGTATCAGGGAAACTATTAAAATGGAGAAATCTATAAGTCTACATTTTCCCTTAATGCAGCACATTCAGGCTACCTTGCATTTTTGAGTTGCCTACTTTTGGAGCAGAGGCCCTTCTACTCCACCTCTGAATGTGCCAACACAGTCAAAGAAAGCCACTCAGCAAGAAGTGGTCCCAGCCACAGCCAGGGTTTTGTTTTCTGCTTTCACACAAGAAGACCTGGGTCTCTTAAAAAAAATAAAAGAGACAGAGATTATGAACTTGATGAGTTTTAAGGGCCAAGTGTACCTGGACACCAAATGAGTTATGGAAGAATTTTTAGGTTAAAAAATAACATCCATTTCAATTAATGTAACATTACTGACTTCAAAGATTACCTCCTTAAAAAAGAAGTAGAATTTTCCTATTGTTTCTCATGATAGTTCTCCAAGTTAGGGGAACCATACTTTGTCAATCTCCAAGCCTTAGCTCTAGAAATTAAAGCAGTAAGGATAAGAAACTATGTGGAAAGGAAAAAGAAATTATATGTGAAATCTTTCCTGCAATACATCATGCAACAGAATAAAACAATGCTACCTCTAGAGGTGAGTTCTTCTGGAAGTGGTTCAATTAAAAAAATTCTACCCCTCAAAACATTTGAAAATTAAATCAATCTCGAACAAGGAGACAACAAAATTCTGTTACATATAGGGCACCTCTTTGTGTTCTGATCCCTTCTTAAATTAATAAGAAGTTGTAATTTCTCTCTCACACTTCATATTTTGTTCAATTATTTAAAAATAAATACTCATGTGATACACCCATGTGGTGTGCCCCTATTGACACAAATTTTAAAAGCTGTTCAAAGGACAAGAGGGCACGGTCTTAAGCTGTGTCAGGGCAGGTTTAGCTTGAATATTAGGAAAAAAAATTTTACAGAGAGAGTAATCAGACATTGGAATGGGCTGCCCAGAGAGGTGGTGGATTCACTGTCCCCGGAGGTTTTTAAGATGAGACTGGATGTGGCACTTAGTGCCATGGTCTAGTAACCATGGTGGTGTTGGATCAAGGGTTGGACCTGATGATTTCAAAGGTCTTTTCCAACATGGTCAATTCTATGATTTTACAAAAGAAAAGGAATTTTTCATCAAAAGGATAGAAAAGGAAAAACTGTCTTTTACACAAAACACTGAAACCAGGGGGTGACAGTTTGTCACCCAATGCTTATCCAAGCATTGCTCCCTAATTCCAGCTTTCATTTTTGACTTTGCAATGCATTCTGGTGGTGATTGAGCAATATATTTAAGTTTGCACAAACTTCCTTGTGATTCTTCACTAGGTTGGATGGGGGAAAAAAGAAGTACTAGAAAGCGTTAGGAAGCTATCCTATCTAAACATAAAATTCCACTGGCCTTGAATTCCTCTCCACAAAGATCTGAAGCAGACAAGGAAGGAGAGTCAGCAGAGTAGCCCTGTATATTAGATTGTTTAGAGCTTTATGACGGTGACAATAGGGTTGAGTGTCTATGGGTAAGAATCAGGGAGAAGGCCAAGAAGGGAATCTGTTATAAACCATATGACTAGGATGAAGAAGCAGACAAAATATCCTATAGGCAGCTGAGAGAAGTCTCATGATTACTAGTCCTTGTTCTAATGGGGGACTTTAATTTACCAAATGTCTTCTGGAAATACAACACAGCAGAGAGTAGACAGTCTAGTAGGTTCCTAGTGTGTGGAAGACAGTTTCCTGACATAGTTGGTGAGGGAGTCAATGAGGGGATATGTCTCACTGGACCTGCTGTGTGTGAACTGGTGGGTAATATGGTGCTTGGATGCCGTCTTGGGCACAGCCATCACAAAATGGGAGTTTTCAGTTCTCAGAGAATTTAGGAGGGGGTCAGCAGAATGGCTAGCTTGGACTTCTGGAGGGCAGACACTGGCTTGTTTAGGGGACTGGTTGAGAGAGACCCTTGGGAGGCAGTCCTGAAGAGCAAAGGAGTCCAGGAAAGCTGAGTGTGCTCTAAGGAGGCAGTCTTACAGGAGTAGGCTGTTTCCCATGTGCCAAAAGATGAGCCGGTGGAGAAGAACATCGGCCTGGTTGTGCAGAGAGCTTTGGCGGGAACCCAGGATTTCTATATAAAAACAAGTACAAGGTTTTCTCTCCAAAGTAAATAGACAAGAGGAACCTGTGCTGAAGTGCTGTAGGAGATATATCTTCCCTGGAAGCACAGATGCTAAGTTAGTTCTGAAACAGATAGAGTAGATATGCCTAAATTAGAAGAACAATCCCATTCTGGAGCCCTAACATTCTTCCATAAACAATCCCAAGCAATTACTGGTTGCCCTAAGCATTGGAAATAGAATAATTTATGTGTGGAATGCAAATAATATAAAAAAGACACCTTAAATATGACAGTGTATTAGGTACTATGTAAATATTGGAACTGATTACTGAATGCTTGTAGAATACCACCAATTTTCCCTTACTTCTTGGAAGAAGAAAAAAATACTCAGAAATATAAAGCTTAGATATGGGAAAATAAATTTTAATAATTTCAAAGATGACTAAGAGCAGAGAAGATCTGCCATTTGAAAACAAATAACATTCCACCTAATTTAATGCATCAAAAGAAGTAGCAAATGCTTAACACACAAGATGCTAAGAACTGAACAATTAAGGAATAAAACATTTTGAAATCCTAAAAATACCTAAATAATAATTCAATGTTTAGTGTATTAGAGTATAAAAGTTCCCTATAATTTTATATGATTACCTAGTTCTTTCAAAATTATCTGATATTATCATACTTTTTATATATATTGCTAAACTAGTTTAATCACAGTCAACTCTTAGTTTTTGACTATAACCTACCATTGTAATTAGCACAATAAAATTATGTATATTTTCTTTTAATTGCTTTAGTCCTCATAATTTTTATTTACTTTTAGTTTAATGCCTACAAGAAGATTTTATTGTCATTTATGAACTCCTAATCTTTTCAATTTCTTCTGACTCTTACAGAGAGCCTACCTGATCCCAAACACATTGAAGTGGTTTATGTCTTTTCACTATATTTTAACATCTGCTTGTAAACAGTATCAGTCTTCCCTAGCTTTTCTCTTTATACTTATAAT